CATGCTAAAGTCATTCCAACATAATAATAAATAAAGAACATCCCAAAACATTTTGTAAATAACACTACCTCTGTAGGTCTTTTGTAAGAAAGGGATAGAAGAATTATTGAGGTGTAAAGCAGAACTCCATTTCTTTTGGCAATTCTTAGGTAACAAGAGTTTCAGTTGACCACGCCTTGGAGAAGAACGGAACAGGATAAAGGCAATAGAATTTGCTATACTCAATTCAAAAATACTCATAACAACTCTTAAAAGTCTATTCACTCAGGTAAACTGGAACATCATGACAAAGAACTTCAGAACAAACACTGTAGCTCAGATTGGACATTTACCAACCTTTAGTTGCTACACATATTCTCTAAAATACTATACTTTTTAATGAAATGTACTGATCTAGTAGAGAATCTACTACAGCATAACAAACTAAAACATTAATTTGCTTAGTCCAGGAGGATTGCAGTTCAGATTCTAACCATACACAATTAATATAGGTCTGTTGAAAAATGAATTAAGAATCATTTGCCTGAGTAGACAAAAGTAATCACTGGATATATTACAGAATGTAATGAACTGTATTTTTTGCCACAATTAAGGGCTTTAACATGACAAAAGATGCTGATATCATGTGTTATGCATTAGAACATACATAGTTTTGTCCATATCAAAAGTTATAACAGCCAGACATATTGCAGAATAGATCTAACAATTTGTTCACCCCCTGGCATTTGAGAGTTGCTCTAGACACAATTTCACTTATTCAAGTTATTAGTCAAATAAGGCCTTACTGATTTTAAATTCTTAAATTCTTTCAATTTTGAAATTTCTTAAGCTTTTTTTCACTTCTTCTGTCTCACATTCATCAGTGCATAGAAAAAGATTACACCAATCTGGGATTTCAGAAAAGACCAGGAATATTGTGAAGGTATGCTAACTATTTAAAGAGTAAAAAGCAAGTAAGATATGGAGGCGATTCTTATATGATTTTCTCTGTAATTTTGGTAGGTAAAGATTATAAAATGAACAGATGTTTGTTAATGATATCAAAAGAGTCTGGCAATATGTTCACAATCATAGAAAATTATGGTTTTGAAACTGATCTGTGAGTCAACAATGGTTTTACATCCAGATTATTAAGGTAAACATAAAATAAGAAGTATTGAAGACAATTAGAAACTCAAGTTGTAATTAAAATTTTGTCAGTCAAAATTCTCTAAATCTCTCAGATCAATAGTAGCTAGCAAGCATTTTAAAAACATCCTATACAGTTGGTACCAAAGTGCTCTTAACTAAAGTAAAAAAGTCAAGTCAATATAATTAAAATTATTTGCATGCACATTTTTGAAAATGATATGATAAGTGCATATTTTCCAAATCTTAGGGGGAGCATTTTTTCTATCTCTCAAAAGGTGTTCTTTAAGTTGCTAAACCTATTAGGCAAAGTTACACTATTGTATCATTGTTCAATATCAGCACAACCACCTTACTCTAGGTGTAAATTCAGAATTTTTTTCACTGATTTTGCTGGTGTTTTTTAGAAAGATATTACATATTGCTTCTTTATATTGAAATCAGTTTTTCAATTCTCAAAAAAGAAAATCATTGTACTGTAATTCAGACTATTACTAAACTTAGGGACTGATCTGAAATGCTACGAGTTATCGGAAATATTTTTGTGGCTCGTCATTTCCTGTGTGCCATTGTTTCTTCTGTGAAAAGGAACTTAGATGCCTTTCAGGTTTGGCAAATAGTTGATATGGGTCAATCTTCTGGTACTTCAGAAATAAAAGATTTTCAGAATAACACTGTCAGAAACTATTTCCACTTTAAAGTCTATAATGTTATTTATTAAAAGCACATTAGTGTCTCCTAAGTCAAGCATAGGCTTGGAAGAAAATTCCTCACATTGCTTAAATGCCACACAATTTCTGATGTTTCCACACCATCACAAAAAATATCTATTTTATCTTCCACTATAGGTTTCGAATAAAATATTCTTTTGTTTGAACGAGTTAACACTGGCAAAGAAAGGTAAGGACGGTTAAATGGGACTTCAAGCCAGCAATTAATATTAGCAAGGTTTAGTTGGTAACTGCCTTGTTATTTCTTTCAGATTATAGAAGTGCTATAAAACTAATTTCATTTGTATTTTTCCCTGGTGATAATGATTTTCACATACAAAAAATTCTCAGAAACATAAGGAAGTTTGCCAAAGTAAATTAAAATTGTAAAATGTTAACATACTGTTTTACATAAAAGCAGTGCTGCTTTTCTCAAACAGTGTACAAAAAAGATCTGTTACCTGTTAAGTAAAACAAGAAAAAGAATATCACAGACCAGAAAGAGATGGGATTAGTGTCAGAATGGGGTATGTTTGAGTGTTGGCTTCTGTTCTGGTGTGATTGCCTTAGAGGCTGAAAACAGAAGTAACAGGTGGGAAAAGCAAGCAGGTCAGAAATGTGTCAGGAGCTAAAAAAAAAACTCTGCAAAACAATAAGAAACATCCCTTCTAAAACACAAGTAGGAATGAGACGTATTTTATAGCATTTTTAAAATAAATAATGTAAAATGCAAAATTATTAGGTATTTATAATGCAATAAAAGATACAGAATTCTCCTTTCTACTAATAAATTGATCCTGCTGAAGGCAAAGAGCATTTTACTTGAATTCTACAACAATATCTTCCCCTCTTAAAAAATGCAATCTAATGAAATTATTAATAAAAATTAGATACCAAACTACTGACTTCAATGGAAGTTACAAGTCACAACAGAGACACCAGCATTTCACTTGGCAAGGATGAGCTGTAATAGTCCTCTGAATTAAGAGGACAATATTGCTTCTGAAAGAGTCAAACTGTCAAGAAACTACAGAAAACATTTTGTCCTTTTACCATGTGTAGTGGTTGAAATATGCAGAATGTTAGGAATATTGATCAAAATCCATCCCAAGAACATGAGGAAAATTTGCCTATCTCAGATGAATGCATGCATGGCACAAAACATTTAGATATTGCATGTGAACTGCACTTGCTCACTGACAAGACAAAAATGCTTATGCTGAAACATTAATTTAGTCTTGTTTCATCTCAACCAACAAGTATTTTAAGTAGAGTTTTAAGATTTTATGTGCTGTAAGTGAAATAAAAATATATTTCTGAAACTTTGCAATTACACGGAAAAAGAACACATGAAAACAAATAAATGTAAAGAATATGAAAAGAGAACACCACAAAAAACCCCAATCATAAACCTACCTCAAAATAGCATTATACAATAAAGCATATCTGTAGATACATATATGTTTCAAAGACTACTTTGTGCATGATTAGTCTTCCAGACCACTGAAATCTTCCAAGCTGAATTGCCAGTTTAGGCAGAGACAAACTTATCTTGCAGGAAGTTTAGTAGGTTAAAAATTTCCTCAAGTGATGTTACAGGTACAACCAACAAATTTTGTGCAGCTGAGCACCAATGTCACTGCCTATTTGGAGAAAATGGATATCTCAAGTAGTTTAATGGGTTCCTTTGGTTGTAGTTGTGGGCAATATTTTATAATCCTTTGAAAATTGTTTCCGTGGTTAGTTAACTAAACTAACAGCTAATGAATAAGATGGGCAGTCTCATCCAGCTCATTAGTTTGTTCCTACTTTTACTTGTGGCTCACATACATACCATAATGACCACATGGCTACAGCATGGTGCGCAGCGTGGAAGAAAGACTGCCAAATATCATATATAACTGACATAAATCAAAAATCTGCAAAGAATGGTCCACTTCAGAATCCTTCAGTATTCACAAATAATATATTCCTGTAATCTAATCACAGTCTTTTTTATCATTTCCATTAAGTCATAAGACAGGAAAGCATTTTGAACAATACATCATGGATACACTCACCACATCTAGAGAAAATTCACCTTTATATTGTATTACCTCTGAAAAGAAAGCTGTAAATCACAAATTGGTTGAAAATAAAGTGGATTTTTTGTTCAATTATTTTTCCCATACACCCTCTTCAAATGAAGGACCGTAGGTCATTCAGATGATGTAAATTATCATATCATCATAAACAATGTAATTGTCCTGACACAAGTCCAATCAACCATCAACTTTAGTTTGCCTTTAGATGATTGTGCTTAGCCTCTGTGTGAGAGAAAGCAAGAAAACTGAGATGAATGAGTACTCTGATAGATAAATAACTGAATTAAGAACACGTAACTCAGGTGATATGATTACACACTGCTCCCTAACTGGCTCTCTTTCTCCTATCCTCCATTTGTTTCCCTTTTAAAGTATTTCATATCCTATCTCTATAAAAAACTAAAATATTAAGAGAACAATTTTTGCAAGCATTGGCAATTTCTCTTTTAATTGCTTGCTTAGCAATTTCTAATGAAGAGGTTTGGATGTTCTGCCTCTTAAGAGACTTTATGTTAGAAAAAAAAAAAGGTGTGAAATCCACATTTGAGGTTTGGAAGTCTTAATATTCTTGATAAAAGGTAGTTTCTTTAACCTGGATATTCTATTCACATAGTGCTTCGTCACTGGCACAGAGTAAGGTGCAGTGAAAACATAAATTGTACGCAAAAAACACCACCAACAGTAGTTTTGCAAGGCAACCCATTTAGGACATGACTAATTTGTGCACAAAATGGAATCACATCCAGTGTCAGATTTACTGAATGGAAAGGGAGAAGTTAAATTGATGGTAGTGATGTTTTATGGAAGTATAATAACCAGCCATAATCAAGGACACAAACTTAGTGAGAAGTTGTGCAGCCCATCCCAGAGTGCTGTAATCAGTGTAGCTCATCTCAGAGTTCCAAAATAGGAGCTAATACATTTACTTTGTAAATTTCAATGCCTTTTCTGGATACATCTTTGTAATTTCAAATACTAAATTAGTTAGCAAACAATCCATCTGAATGATTTTACCAGAAATGAATTTTATCTTTGTGATAATAAGAATGTCCACATGTTAAAAATAATTGGCACTTACCTTTATTTCTTGAGCTTTCATGATGCTTTTCCTGCTGCAATTAAAAGCAGAAAAATGTATTAATTACAGAATTACTTATAACAAAATCATAGACTTATATGAGCCAAATGAGACAGTGCTGTGCCTCCTTAATGCTGCTCCAAAGTAAAATCAACTACACTTTGCCTGATGCCTACAGACTCCTATACAATCCAATTTCAACTCCCCTAGCGTTTTTCACTTTATTTTTTTTTCTCCTTCAATGACTGGGATTAAGTGCTGGATACATTCTCCAATGGGGCCATGCAGTCTCTGTCACTTGACTTCTGTTTTGGGAGATGCTTTTAATTCAACTGCACAAGTCCCTGTTAGACTGGGACTTGTCCCCTGATGTAATTTTGAAGCATGAAAATTTCCTCAAGGCAGTAACCTGTCCCCAAAATTTCAAACTTTGATTTTACACAATATTTGCTCAAAAGATGCTCTTTATTTTGGGTATTGCAATTCTTCAAATATTTGCTGCTATATAATTTTTTGCCGGTAAAAAATAGCATTAGTAGTAGACTAAATGCAAAGCGTTTCTAAATTTTCTTCCATCACAAGATAGCTTTTCTTTTATAATTTTAACAAGAAAAGGAAATTGCATAGCATTTTTCTTTTGCTGCAATTTTTAATGAGCATGTTAGCTTTTTATAACAATGAGAGTATAACGATTACCCTTCAGTACTAATTGCGCTGTTTTATTTTACACCAAGGATTTGTTATTACTGTGCTCATAATAGGTTCATTTAGTTTTAAAAGCATCCAGACTGTACATAGAAATCTATAGAAATAAGTTAATACTCCTACACCAATACATATATCTTCTAACAGTATATCTGTTAATATTTTCTAATTCACGGGGACATAGAAATGTTTAGTTACCATTAAAACAAGCACAAGACCATCTTAGCCTCAAACAACTAAAACATGTTGTTCCAACTTTTTAGATTTTGTGAAATAATAAATAAAAAATAGTGATGCAATATTTTTGTTGTTCCCTGCAACCCAATTTTACAAATCTAAGTCAATGACTCTGGAAAATACGATTTCAAATTTCTCCATGACTACATTATAAACACGACTAAGATATTAAAAAAAAAATCATTATCAGTAAAATGTGATGTACTAGATACATTTTTAGTATTTCCTAAACACAACAAATGGTATTTCCCAAAATATTGGATATGATGTGCTGATTTACCAATATTGATTTTCATGCCGTTCTGATTTTCACACTATAATAAAATTAAAGCAATGGTTTTAGTATTACCCAATTTCCTTCACATTTCATTTTACACTACAGTCAGCATTTGCTTTAGAGCATCTGTCTAGTACTTTCTTCTAGTCTCCTAAAGGAAAACTTGCTTTTAATTTTAATTTAATATATCTTTAGAAGTCATGGAGTGAAACTTAGCCTTTAATAGAACAGTGTAAACTCAGAGGAATCTTGTTCATTATAAGAAGTCTATGATTATTAAAATATCAACCAACCACCAAGACTTAGAGCCAAGTTGTGTTAGCATTCAGATAGTGCAGTTTTTTGGGCTCCAAAGACACTGTTCTGTTCCACAAAACTCACTAGTCTTTTCTCCTTTCTTTAGTTTGAAATCAGAAGAATGGATATTTTTGCCAACAAAGCTGCAATAGACTGTAAAGACTTAGTTGATTACTAGATCAGAGTATCCTTGCAGGAAAGCAATATTAAAAGTCAAATATTGATATCAAAGGAGAGAAGACAAACACTAATTAGGATGAGAGTTATTTTTTAGGAAGAAGAGAGTTCAACAAACTTGGCAAAGTTTAGAGTAGAAACAAAATTATTTAGATGAAATTTTAAAATTAAAAAAAAATGTTGCAGGGTTTTTCTTAATGGAATGTGTTAACATGTCAAGGAAAAGAGGCATTAACAAAATACATTTTCATACCTATTTTTTCTAATATCTTTGTTTTCTTTAGTTTCAGCTGAAGATTTCGGAGCAAATTTTCATGGTGTAGCTTTCACAAAACACTCAAATTTTAATTTTAAGCTGCCATTCAAACTAGAAAGAAAATACTTTCTGAGCAGATCCTAGACCAACCCTCAGTATGATATTCCTTGGGCCAAGATGCTTGGTAGCAGCAAAGAGCATCCACATAGAAAGAAAAGTCACTTTGCCTGCAGTTATTTCAAAATTAACTAGTGATTAGACTGGGTGTAGCATCTCTGTACTCAGAAAATAGCTTTCTGCCTAGAGAAATCTTGCTAGATTAGACTTTTCAACAGAAAACACAGAGTTAAAAAATCCAGACAAGTTTATACTGAGGGTGAATTAAATACAGATTCCTCCTTAATATAGAAAGATAAATTATGTGAAATATTTTCAGTAGAAAATCACTAAGAAGCAATGATTTATGCTAGCCAGCCAACACTGTAAGCGCCTATAACTTAGGAAAATTAATTTCAGATGCTCAGGGAAATAGGAACTGCTCATCCTAATGGGAAACACAAACAAAATTTTCAGGGTGTTGGAATGTGATATCGAGGTAACTGAACTTTTTTAACTTTTAGTAAGTTAATGGTTCATAATGACATTTATTTCCACCTGCATTTGTGCAATGTGCTAGGCTTTTAATGCTAGTTGGACTGAAAATAACAGAATTCTACCCATATACTACTAGAAATGTGTAAATGTAAATGTGTAAGCATTGCAGTATTAAGTAAAATGTATTTCTCTATAAACACTTGTGTGGAGGACTTTATAAACCCACTATTCTACATATGTCTGTTATTTTTCTCCTGTACTGCATTATGATATATAAACAAAATATTTTTACCTAACATGTTAACAATCCAAAATTATATATAATTTTTTTTTAATTATATATACACACACACACACACACACACACACACACACACACACACACACATATATATCTTCATTCATGTAATCATTCTGGATATATATGTCCAGAATGACTACATTAACTACAGGACTATATTGGTACCTATTGATATGAGCCATCTGTAAATAGAATCAACCATATTTCATTTTAGGATATTTTTATCAGCTTCAATATAGTAAAATACTTTTGAATTTAACACTCTCCAAACAAACTAATCAGACAGGTTGCATGGCATTTTATGGCTTTGTGTTGCAACACAGTGTATCAGCCTGATGAAATGTATCCATGCGGAACATATTAGAACTGTAAAGGAACCTTTCCTGTGTGCCCAAAACGCTGAATTTAAAGTAAACTTTTCATGGAGAAAATGTCAGATTTTCCATTATCTTTGTGGACTGAAAAAGACCACAGATGGTTGACCATAAAAATTACTACTGTTACAAATCATAAGTTACAAATTATTTCCAATATAAATCAAATGAGGGTCTGCAAAGAAACTTATTTAAATATACACAAATGCTTTTCCAAGGTATAAAAGCTCCTTTTCTAGTGCTATTTTCTTTTTCTGACTTAATACACAAACATTATCAACATCTCTTAAAATATTTTGATATCATCATTATTCGGAAATGCCACGTTTGCTAAATAAGGTTGGCATAGTAACAAGTCTTATTTAAAAGGGCTTCCTATTAGCAATAAGGGATGTAGAGAAGGATGATCAAAGGGACTCTTAATTTACCAACAAGGTACAAAGCTATTTATGTTCATTTCTTAGTCTCATTTAAATATATATCATGTGACTTTTGTCTGAGTTTTCTCTTTTTGAAAGAAAATTAGTGTTTATAAACCTTGGATGCACATAGAAGCATGATGACTGCCACTTAATTCTGTGTGTTTCAAAGGAAAAACTACATAATTGTGTTTCATAGAACAGGACCCCACTTATGGCTCTGCCTGAATCATCTGCTGACGATTTGGGTATGTGTGTGCCAGAGTGGGCGACAGAAAAAAAAGAGGAGCCTTATTTTGTCTTTGGAAAACTCAGACAAAGCCTCCTTTGCTATACTGGCTCCAATTAAAAAGTAGCTGCTGAATTAATCAAATTCCTAAAATCAACAAAGTTCTAATTAATGTAAAGCATATGGTAGATTGTCCTTGACATGTGACAAAAGTTTCAATAATTTAATAAACATACACCATTAATTACAGAAACTGATGAATAAGGGAATGAAAAGTTACTTGCTTTTCTAACATCTGATAATGAAAAGTTACCATTAGACATATAACAAAATATAGTTAAAATGCAGAAAACCAGTTTTGTATTCATTACATTTCTGGCTAATTCTGCAGTAGGGGTACTATGTAGATAATACTAATATAATTAATAATAATAATAATAATAGAATATTCTTGTTAAAGAAAATACTTCATTAAGAGAGGTAACAGAATAGTTATTATTGTTAAAACATGTACAAGCTATAGCAGCTGAATTAACAATACATTTACTCAAATTAATACAACAACTTTAATTACAATAAATCTGAATTACAAATGTACAGAAACGTTTTATTCATAGGTGAAATAGCAGCATGGTCACAGCCAGGGAGTACTAGCACACATACATATATGCCACAAAGCAACCTGCTAAACTATTCTCAGACCCAATTTGATCAATGACATTAGGCTGAACATTTGTGTTTCAAATAAGTTTTACAGAATCAGAATTCAGCAGACTCTTAGCAACTGCAGTACAATTGCAATTTAAACTAAAAATGCATGCAAAGCAGAAGCAATGACATTTACATTTGTAAAGCTGTTCTGTTAAGCAGCAGTAAGCAAGGCCTTGCTTACTATGGGAAGGAAGAAAGAACATGCAAGAAGTGAACCATTTTCCTCCTGCTCTTGTCAGAACACTATTTACTGCAGAAAGCTTTTTAGTTTAATGTTTGCAGCAGGATTCTTGAACTGGTATTCTGTATACACAGCCCAGTCTTCTTAGAGATTGCCATCATTTATAGCAGTAAAATCGGAGAAAATAATATGCCACAGGTTGTTCTTGTATTGATTAAGGCACTACATGAATATAAGATTGTGTGAAGGAAACAAGATGTGATGCAAGGTTGCTAG